GGGAGATCACTCCGTGGCTCTGTCGTCGAGATATAGGTTACGTCACGGTAGGGAGGTAGGGATATTTGAATCTTTTGTTTTTGGGCTACAAAGATGGGTGTAGGTATTGTATATGCATACTAAAGTTATGGTAAGTATTACATCATGAATATTAGTTTTACTTCAAAAACCTCAAATTAATCCATAACAAGTTAATCGTTTGCCGCATACATCTCAAATTAGTTTAAATCCCGGTTATACCTTAATATCTAAATTATGCAGTGTAGACGATATTATAGAACAGGATATTGAAACGTTATATTTTATAAGATATTTTTCGTTCTGTTTGTAATGCTGTAGAATGTAAATGTAGAACAGTATATATTTTCAGAATTCTATAAAAATGCTTTTCTTAAAAAACACAAAATCCAACCACATAACAACATATTATTGTAAACCAGGTCAAATTTCTTGAAAATGCTGCCATCCCAGAAACATTACCGTTCGTCCTGCACGAACGTTTTTGTGTTGTTGTATAAATCTTTGTTTTGTGATGCGGAATTTGAAAACGAAAAGAAAAACAATACGCAAAAGAGGTCATTATTTTCAATGCCATCGCTCGGTATCGAATTTGGTTATTTCTAGATTTGCATATTAAGCCGTTTTTTGTGTGTCGTTAATTACATGCTTTCAATAATACAAAATACAGTTGATTTGTAAGGGTTGATTTGTAAGGGTTGGAAACCTTTTGATACATGTTTAGCTTTCACGGACACTCTTATTTACACTTTTATGACATTTTTATGCTGTTAGGATAAAATTAGATATATTCTGCCTGTGTGACACTGGATTATAATTTCCCTGATATTTTTAGAAAACCATTGAAATTCACTATTCATTACAATGTCTAAAACTTCTCGTGATAATTAAAAAAAATGTTTTGACGTTATCAAAGCATTTTCAAGAGTAAGTTAATTTGACGTTTCGTTCATTAACATTCAATTACGAATTCATTTCAATTTCAGATGAAGAAATTCGAGATGTAATTTCAGAATCAGATGTTCGCAGGACTTATGAACATCGAGAACAGACTGATACTCTCAAAAAGGCTATAGACAAAAAGGGGTCAGAAATACAGGAAACTGTCCGTGCTTCAGGTCAAGAGGGCGTTTCAAAGGTACAGAAATCAATGGAAGTAGTTGAAAACAAATCAGATTTGAAATATGCCCAAATTAAGCATAATAATGTAGCATTATATCAGGAAGCAGAAGAAATCAATGAACATGGTAGAAAAATGGTTATGAAAGAAAGTGCTAAGGTAAAACAAGCCGTAGACTGTCATCGCCTAGAGACTACTGCCTCTACGACACAGTTAGAAAAAGCCGTCAAAACTGCAGAGCAGACAATCATTGAAACTTTGAACTGCGTGATACGAAAACTTGACAAACAGTCACAGGCGTTAGATGAACAGTCGATGAAAATCGGTGAACTATCAGAGAAAGTTGATGAACAGTCACTGCGAACTAGGGAACAGACACAGAAACTTGACGAACAGTCACGGACGTTAGCTGAACAGTCGATGAAAATCGGTAAACTATCACAGAAAGTTGTTAAACAGTCACAGACGTTAGATAAACAGTCAATGAAAATAGACAAACTGTCACAGAATGCTAATGAACAATCACAAATAGTTTCGGAACTATCACAGAAAGTTGAATCAGTCTCACTTAGAACTAAAAAATTGCGAAAGGCAGTTTATGCTAGTCGACGTTATTAAAGCAACAAAGAAATTATCAAGCGAGAAATGATGATATAGGAAACAATTTGCCCGTTATGTAATATGGTAGAAGACATAGAAGAGACAACTGGCGTTAGATTGCACATATATTTTTATTTTTATTTTTTAACTATTGCAGTGATAATATTCCTTTCGGACATAGATACATATCAGCTTATACATGAGCCATAAATGGTATAATTTAAAACATTTTGCCTTTGATAAATGCAGTAGTTATAATATGACTATTTACATATCCTACATGACATCGTTCATAGACTAAAAGAATATCTCAACCCCTTGGGGGTGAGATAGTGGAATCTCAACTCGAGAGGAAAGATTCTTTAGTTGCAAGTCCAGGGTGAGAGAAATTTATTTCTACCACCCTTCATAGGCGTGTCTCCCTTTTAAACCGGAAACGATTAGCACGTGTTCAATTGTGACGTTATTGAAATGTGTCACCGGTAATTGTAACGTCATCGAAAGTGTCATACCCCACATGTACTTTTTATACAAACATGGCAGACTACTGTCGGTAGAGTTGTGACTGAAATAATAGGATGGGAGAAAAATAATCATCCTCTACCTTGAAGGTGTGACAGAGAAATCTCCAACCCTTGGGTTGATGTTTTCTGGTTGTATAACCCGAGGCTCTGCCTGACTCAAACCCTCGGGTTGGAGATTTCTCTATCACACCCTCAAGGTTGGGGAAGATCTATTAGTCAAACCCCAGGAGGAGATAGCCTCGTGCAGTCTGGCGCGATCTAAGTCATAATAACAGCATGACGTCACGTCATCAATGCATTTACGTCAAGTCAACAGTAGCAGATCCTGAAAGACAACTCTAGATATGTTGGAAAAACATGCAATCACCGCTTGGACGGCGGATTTGTAAGTGAAACAGGATGAGGGGAAAAAAAACATCATCCCCTACCTTGAAGGTGTGACAATCGAGAAAATCATCCCTCGGGTTGGAGATTTCTCTGTCACACTCTCAAAGTAGGGGAAGATTATATTAATTAGCCTTAGGGGCTGTATAATCATACTATGATTTTTTTTTGTCATATAATACACAATTATTAATAAGCTAGTACAACTTGAAAATTATAAGCATTAACGCTTGGTTGAATACTAGTATGTTGAATAGAAATTAACACGGATATGGCGCGTGACGGGCGGAAATGGGTCGGTCGGGATATGAGCTATGAACATTTAGCAGTCTCACGCAAAAATATGTGATAATGGACTCTATCAACTTACTATAGCTGTCACAGTGTAGAGACTTTTGGTATTGATAAATCAGAACGATACCTTCTGTTTGTTGTCTCTGATTTGTTGAATACATCAAATAATTCATTTACAGTATGTATGTTAACTATACAACAAAACATGGTATCATTGTCTTTCACCCTACAGCTGTTCTCATTGTTCATTAAAAATAGCAAATACAATAAGCTTTCCTGCTATTAACCGATATTAGGTAATTATTCAATTTGATGAAATTGCGACTCAGTCGATCTAACGATGACAAACTTCAGCAATGTATTTTTCTGCTTGAGCTTTTTCTTAAACAAGAAGAACAATGATTTTGAAATGGAATAACTACTTATTGTTTTGTATATGAACAGTTCATCATGACTCGTTGTCCCATATTTAATCTTCGATTATAAGAGTAAAGAGAGGATTCCACAGAAGCTGCCTCATCAGGCACTATCTACTTGTCCTCCTACGTCCTTACATGTTTTCATGCGTGTAATCTCTTTTGTATTGGGATTATGGAGCCCCCACAACTGCACCTGTTCCATAGTGCCACCTCACTTGAATCTAACTACACAGACACCTGAGCACCCATTAAGCATGGGACGATCACAGGGCCATATCAAGGTCAGTTTAGCTGGTGTTGTTTGTTGTGGAATGCAACAGGAGGCAGGCAAGCAAGGTTTTGTGATCTAAAAAGAAGGATTTTAATTCGTAACTTTGTTTACAGCAAATAAGCATTAAGCGACGAGTAGATAGATATGTGTAATTTGTCCAAGGTACTCAGTAATGCCTGATCGATCGAAGTTATTCCATATTGATGTCATTATTTGTCAAACCTTTCTTTCTTTTGCATTGTTTTCCATATATGAGTACTTCATAGTCACGCTTGGTATAGGGTCGTCATGCGCTATATAAACGTTTCATTGGTAAACTGTTAACTTTGTACATGTATGTTGTATCAAAACTGTTAATAAAAATATCAAAAAAAAGCATTGCTTTGTGCAGTTTCTAAATTCTTAATATGTGCTTTATATACTATATATATGCCCAATAAGTAACTGGCAAAACTTAATACAACACCTACATTATGATAGAAGACATATCCCCAATATTACCATGACGAATCGGTGAATAAGTCACTGGTATTATAAACATAATGGCCATATACATGCAGGACATGACACAGGAACATGAAAATTCAGAGAATGAATGTGAAATGTTTTTGATGTGTAGGGGTTGGTATTAGACGGGTCAGGTGTAAGATAGACAACCAGTTTAAACGCCTGCTATTTAATAGTGTACATAAATGTAGCATGTAGTCGTACACATAGTGAACATGACGTTGAAACAAGCATCAATTTTCCCTAAATAAAATGATCCGAATTTGCTTATTTATTCAAAGATATTTTTTTATTTCTAAAAAATCAAAAGGATTGGGCAGATGTTCTGACAACTTACAAAGCGACCTCCCGGGTTATTGGACACTCTTAAGAACGTGGTTTGTAAACAAATATGGATCTATCATCTACGGAGCAAATTATTCATACGGAAAACCAAACCATGTATTAATTATTCAACATATTGTAAGAAGTAGTACATTGTAACCTTTTGTGCTATTAATGTCCGAATTATTCAATAATTGTTTAAGTCGAGTATTGTATGCGGTCAGATTGGTCAAAGGTAGGAATATTTAAAAATGTGCTTGTGATACAAATAAATACAGGCAACACGGCTTAGTGTGTTAGCTCTCCTATATCAAATGTATTTGTTTACTATACATTGTTGAAAAACAGATGATTAAATCGGTAAGAAATATATTTGTAACGAATGTACGACGATGGGTTAAGTCTGGATTCAGGACGCGCGACGCAATATTTGCTTTCGATAGTGTCATTCAGAATTCAAATGGAGAATGATTATGTTATGAAGTAAATAAATAAATCATGGGTTGTTAGTAATTCATAACGAAGAATTTGAAAATCTCAACAGAAACAATTAGATCGTAAATGGAGATGTATAATTTGGGAATGTTATATGCAGCGTCATTTTTTCAATATCATTGGTATTCACTTATATTTACATTCTGTATGCTTAGACCCATTGACAAAAATTACATTCATAAATGCATAACACAGGTGTTCATAGAATCTCAGCACGTGGGAACTGATAGTAACCTGATCACACTGCGTAGTAATACACTACAAAAACTACTCACTCGGAACGACCGACCTAGATGCTTAATTCTTACATCTTAAAATATTATTGAACTGTGCTTTGTGAAATATCCACGTATTCACGTGTCCTGTGCTACAAATAAACATTGAATATGGAACTACATTTTGTTGTGTTATTGTTGTTGACGGTTGCTAAGATCTCTCACGATAGTGTCACATTTCCCCGCGAAAAAACACTGTTCTCGCCACTGCGTTGCACCCGTGTATAAGCAGGAACAAACCCTGTTTATTTGTTTTATTCGTTGTTATATCGATCCACTGAAAGGATTCGTCAATGTAAATATAAGGAATGATATTTATTTTTTCAACATTTATGAGGTCATAACAACAATGGGTTTTTGGACATATTTTACATGAATCGCTAACGCGATTCATTCAATATGTCCATAAACCCATTGCTGTTATGACCTCATAAATGTTGAAAAAACAAAAATCATTCCTTAAGTAACATATTCGTCAAAACCTTCACAAGTCTTTTTAAAATTCGTTCTAGAAGCTTTTTTGTTCAGTTCTTTCGGACAGAATTAATAGCAGATGCGTATATAAGACGCACATGTCCATTTAGAGTGTCTCACACCATTTGTGTATTGAAGGGTGTACAAAAGGGAAGAAATGTTATGTCGGAGATAATCTTTACGATCGAATATCTAATTACCTGGAAGAGCGACCTAGTGGAAGTGATATTGTGCTATTAAATCTTTTATATAACGAAAGCGATCATGTACATACATGTGATATCATGTTTATAGACTAGAAGAACACGAACACTCTTTTCCCAATCAGAAATCAACTCGAGATGGAATGTTTAGTCTCAGACATCCGAGCTATCTTTCTTTAAATATAGATGATTTTTTTTTTATTAAATTCAAGAAGAGGGTATATCAGTATTCCCGGCGTTCGTTGAGCTGTGCCTTACTCATCCCTCAAAGTCTTATTCACAGTAACACGTTGACCTTCTAATGCAAAGTTAAATGTTGATCTTCTAATCCACAGTAACATGTTGATCTTCCAATCCACATTTACACGTTAACCTTCTAATCCACAGTAACATGTTGATCTTCTTATCCTCAGTAAAGTGTTTGACTTCTAATCCACAGTAGCATGTTGACTACTAAACCACAGCAGCATGTTGACCTTCTAATTCACAATAATATGTCGACCATCTAACCTACAGTAACACGTTGATCTTCTAATTCACAGCAAAATGTTGATTTTCTTATCCACATTAACATGTTGACCTTCAAAACCACAGTAACATGTTGACCTTTCAAACCAAATTAACACGTTGACCATCTAAACCACAGTTACATGTTGACCTTCGTATCCACAGTAGCATGCTGACTTTCTAATCCGCAGTAACAAGTTGACCATCTAATTAACAGTAGCATGTATATGATCTAATCCACGGTAACATGTTGACCTTCTAATCCAAATTAACACGTTGACCTTCTTATCCACAGTTACACGTTGACCTTTCAATCCAAATGAACACATTGACCTTTTTAATCCGCAGTAGCATGCTGACTTTCTAATCCGCAGTTACAAGTTGACCTTCGTATCCACATCAGCATGTTGACCATCTAATCCACAGTAACGCGTTGATCTTCTAATCCAAAGGAACATGTTGACCTTCTAATCGGCAGTGACATGTTGACCTTCGTATCCACAGTAACATGTTAACACTTTGAACTTCTAATCTACGGTAACACGTTGACCTTTTAATCAACAGGTACACACTTTTTAATTCATAGTGAAATGATGTTTAATCCATATTAAATCTTTAACCTAATAATCTTTGGTTATCACTGATTTGGCATAACATGCTTAACATGCATCAGACGTTATGTGTGAATACAGGTGATACCATTAAGTTGACATTGTTCAATATGGTAATATACTTTATATAAGTCGTGTACTTATAGACTAAATAAAGTGATTGCTATACAATAAGATATTTACATGAATATTGATACGGGCAAGTACCTTCACTACACCAGCAATAGATATTTATTTTAGACGTAAGTTTCATCCGAAGGTACGACTTCTCTTTGCAAAATGAATTTAACAAATAAAGGCATTGTTAGCGACAGGATTCAAATATTCTGTGCTTCACCAGATTCGGAGCATTTCAAATTTTCTTGAATCATCCTGTATCTACGACACTGCAACCAAATAAGTTCGGGGAACGGGTATACCTGCTGTATCCCACTAAATGACCATAGGGCATGATATATGTAACGTGGGCCCTCGGCAGAATCGGGGAGTTTCTTCTGGTTCTTATACCAAGAGGATTCTGACGATACCAGAGTTGATCTGCCGTCAACATTGAAACACTTGTTTTTTTCTGTTTCCTATCTTTTCTGTCTTCTTTTCTCTCCTGTCTACATTATATCTCTATCTTTTATCTCTCTTCGGCGGCGTCTCCCTAGAAACCCGTCCTCATTTTACCATGGCTGTTGCTGCGAGGCCTTTAACCTTCAAATCAGCAAATAAATAGATATTGCTCACCCCATTAGTGCAACCATTCAGTGTTTATGATCGAAAATAGCAACGGGGAATCTCCAACATGACTGTATATGACTGTATATGTCACCAAGTGCGGTGCGAGCTCAATTAGATTTATCAACCGATAATGAGAACATGTTAAACAAACAACCAATGAGAGTTTCTATGTGACTATTCAATGAATAGTACGGTATAGATACCTTCAATTTCAACAGACAATGACCAGTGAAGCGTATGCACACAACGGTACAAAATATGTACGAGTTGTCCACAAAATCGATGTCGATTCGGCTACGCTGTAAGCGTATGTACACTAGTTGTTATATATGTACCGAAATGAATCGATTCGGCTACGCTTTGTTTAATACTTGGTCATAGATGTGCGAGAGTCTATGAGCCGCCTCATCTCAATTTAGAACTGGCCAAATGCAGTGTATCCAGATGGTAACTTTCTACCTTCTTGGGTTTCCGTATCTTTCCTGTGTTCACCAAGGCGGACCCCAAATCGCCTTCCAGTCTCTCCAATATACGATGCGTCGCAGTTTTTGTATCCGATTTTGTATACGCATTCTGCAACGTATTCTTTATGTGTTTGATTCGTAGGGTGTACTAGGATATTACGAAGCGTCTTGTGGGGCTTCATGGCTGTTGCTATGCTCATAGACTTTCGTACCTCTATGACCAAGTATTAAACACACCGTAGCTGAACGAGTCATTTTGGTACATACATAACAACTATTGTACGCTTAAAGCGTAACCGAATCGACATCGATTTTGTGGACAACTCGTTCACATTTTACACCTTTGTTTGAATACGCCTCCCTGGTCTTTTGTCTGATGAAGGTGAAAGTATCATACCATACGAGCCATCGAAACGTCACATAATCAATACTTACCAACCTGATGAAAATGTTTAGAGGTATGGTTACCAAACGTTATTGAGGCAATTACAATTGAAACTGCAATACATGGGGCATTTACGTAATAATCAATGTTGATAAGTCGTGCTTGGGGATTTTAAGTAAGTGCACATGTAAGGGTATATCTCGGCGCAGTTATTACATAACGAGTGTTATACAAAGTGCATTGAATGTCAGTTCTTCTTAGACCACAGGTAAGTACGTTACAATACATTATCTGTATTTTGTTAGATTTGTTTATACAGAATACATGTAATACGACATGATTGAAATCATACCAAGTCATATTAACTATTTTTCTCTGTGGTCTTTTATACATATAGATCCAGTGTATCGTTAGGAGCTTAATATGCTGAAGCATTAGCTTTATATTTTTGTTGATGGTATCCCTCAGTTACCAAGCCAAATACATAGTTAATCCTTATAATTACAGTTTTTTTTATTGTCATTAAACATTTCATTCACTTCAACGTTACAAGAAAAACTTCTAATCCAAATATTGATGTAAAATGTAATATATTGCTAACTTGTTTTGCTATTTTTGTTATGGGTACTTTATCTATTTGTCCATCACGTTTTGTGTGTTGAAATGCAACATATATGTAACGCACACACACATTTTGTTAATACCTATACACTGTAATACGTGTACGTTTAGTGTATCATCTCGGGACATTCTATACAACGTTATTGACGTATCTAATAACACACATATAATTATAGCTAAAACATGTATGGAATGTAAATGCTTCCTAATAGACAAAAGAAGATCATTCCAATGTCGACAAGAGAATAGGTTGAAATGATGGATAATCCCCCGAATCATGCTTGACTCGGAAAAATGTTGAAACCAGAATGTGCTTTTTATATTTTCATTTAAATAGTTTCGTTTAACTTCCTCTAGAAGAAAACATGACGAACGTACTATGAAGATATCTTTTAAATATTTTATATGCCATGATCTTTACAATGGGGTGTTACGAAATGTCGTTTTCGTAATATCAGGGTAAAACTATATCAAGCTAAGCAAAAGTATGTGTATGTAAGCAATACATGGGGCAATTACGTAATTACCTATATTAAACAGTCGCACTCGGGGATTTTCATTCAGAACACATATACGGGTATATCAAGGTGCAGATATACATGTACCATGACGGGTGTTATACAAAGTGCATTGAATGTCAATATCTTAGACCATAGGTAAGTACGGTACACTACATTTACAGAATACATGTAATACGACATGATTTAAATCATACCAGGTCATATTGACGAATTTTCCTTTTTGGTCTTTTATACATGTATTTGTAACCCGGGTATATGTATGATATATATATATATATGGTGTGTGTATATATGTATTAAAACGAGCGCTGTCAACTGTCTGTATACACGCGTGTTGTCCCGTCTGTTAAAGAGTGTATGTGACGTCATCAGTACGGAATGCATTAACATTCTGACTGAATTGTACTTACGACGTAGACCATGGACCTGCCCTTCGCACGAATAACGCACCCTATATTCCCGCCACTATATTTCGACTACTGGGTAAATACTTACTGCTCAGTGGTCATTCTTACAATTCGACTCGTAAGAGAAGGATCTGTGCTCCAGATTGACTGATTGTAAAGAGGCGTAAAGCTACATTGCCGCCAGCATTTATTAGCAAGCTATCCCAGGAACATCATACCCGGTTTGTATAACTGTATCAATGTAATAACTATAATTGACAACCGGTGACATATTGTAGTATTAATATGACCCTGGCTGTTGCGAGGAAGTTAAACTTCAAACAAATAAGTAAATAGATACTGCACACTTCTTTACTGCAACCCATTCAGTGTTAGCGTTTGAAATTAGCAACGGGGAATCCCCAACACGACTGTATAATTACTGATAATGAGAACAATTGAAACTGTAGATATTACATAAATATCTTATTGTTCAATTAAGTAAATGCAATAACATTGTTGAACTATTTTGCTACGTGTTGGTTCTTATCGATGTCTTAACACATGGTTATGTTTGCAATTAGGATATCTTTGGATAATACGCCATAATGTTCGTTTTTGTCATTTACCACTATACGACAACAATGGTAAACGAATGCTTTAATCGATAACATATTTGATTGACAGCATATCTTGTTTGTTGCTCTGATTGTGAATTAACACACCAGTTTTGTAACCAAAGTGTTCTACCTCTTAAATAGTACATAACTCTTCAAGGTTCTTATATACCGCTTTATCACAACCAAGTTCGTAGGTCGTCTCAAAAAGGTTTACAAATTATTATCCGTGGTTATATGGCCTTTGCAACCAACCAATATATTTCTCAACTCCATTGGGAGCATACAGCCAGTGCTGCCATTTCGGCGCTCACAGCTAGCACTCAACAATTCTAGCACTGCCCAACCAGATACTCATTTACAGCTGAATAGACTGGAACAAGCGGAGAAAAGTATCTTGCTCAAAGATACAACAAAGAGCCGTGACGTGACTCGAACCCGAAGCACTTCGGTCACGAGCCCGGCGTCCTACCACTAGATCACCGTGCCTCGATAGTCCGTTACAGTATATGTAGTTCGGATAGGGACAGAAGAACAGTTGTTCGATAGGTATAGTGGTTAATACATATTCAGGAATGGACTGTAAATGAATACGATTTCGTTTTTAAACATAAATCTCACATGATTTAAGTATGTTGCCGTATTTCAGCCAGATTTACAAGGTTATCTATTAATCTAACTTTCATTGGTAAACCACGTACATTTACCAAAATTGTTATGAAACCACCTTAATCGACAAGTGAATAGATATTCGGTCATATACATGCACGTGCTGTTCACGGATATACAATGTAAACAAGGCAGAATCACCTGCTACTTGTTAAAATAATTACCTGTTAATTACTAGATAACGGTAACATTTTTTTGCATCTAGTCAACCGTAAAGTAGATGTGAAATTACCAAACAAGGCGTGACAATCATCATTAACACTTTTGTGTTCTGAAAACTGCAAAATCAGAAGATGTTGTTAAAATGTTTTCAACATATTTGACCCATGGACCTTGAATATAATTGAAGGTTATTCATTCATCTTATCTGAGCATGTATTGGACCACATACTGTAATTCTAGCCTTTTTGTTATTTACCCTAAACTGGGTAAATAAACAGAACAGTAGTATACCCGATTACATAAAAAGACTTGTACATCTACACCTATACATACAGACAGACAGACAGATGCATCATTACGCTCGCATATACGGAGACAAAAACAGACTGATCTGGACTTTACTGTGCAAACCAGTCTAAACGACACCATACTTTTATGTTAAGTACTAGTATCTTTGATTTAGATATTTAAAGCCTTACTACCATAACAGTGAGTTAAATAAAGTGGAAAGGTCATTTTAACATCACTGCACAAATCTTGAAACACAGAAAACCCAAAATGTTACGTATGTATGCATAGTTTAACATCAATGTATAATCCTATAATCTTGGTTGGCCAGTTAATAAATGTGAACAGATTGAAGATCTGAATCAAAAAAGATGATTGTTATGAATGTCTAACAGCAGGAAGTTATTTTCTCTTCTAAAATCATATATGTACATGTATATATATATATGTAATTGTCTTTTAAACATGTAATACATTAACATTGAAATGGATTTTTCTTTGAATATATACAGACGTACATTGTCGTACAGCGTTCCAACTTGCATGCTATCACTCTTAATTATATTGTATAGTACATGTTTTACCAAACATATATATGAAGGAAAAGTCACTCTGATGTTTAAAATCATTCTAGCCTCCTCCTCTGATCCGCCAGAAGAAAACAGTCTACCTTGTGTTATGAACAGCAATCAACCCACTTCTATCGGCCCGTCAGAAGGAAACAGTCAGTCTGATGTTATGAACAGCAATCAAGCCACCTCCTCTGACTCGACAGAGGGAAAAGGTCAACTTGATGTTATGAACGGCAATCAAGCTGCCTCCACTGACCCGACTGAAGGAAACAGTAAACCATATGTTATAAAAAGCAATCAAGCCGCTTACACTGACCCGCAAGAAGGACACAGTCAATCTGATTTTATGAACTGCAATCAAACCGCTTCCATTGACCCGTTAGAAGAAAACAATCATTGTGATGTGATGTACATCAATCAAGCCGCTTCTATAGGTCAACAGTCACATAAAGGTAATAAACAGACACTAAAACGTGATGAAAAGTCAGAGACATTAGGCAAGCAGTCACAGAAAATTCAAGAAATGTCACAGAAACTTGATGAACATCATCAGATGCTTGTTGAGCAATCAAAGACACCAGCTGAACAGTCAAAAACAAATCAAGAAATGTCACAGAAAGATGGCGAACAGTCATTGACAAGTGCTGAGCTAGGAGTACTGATACAGACACCGAGAATCCCAGAACAGACACAAAATCAGTGTGAATGTGATGTGAGGAAAAGCAATCAAGCCGCCTCCATTGACCTGCCAGAAGGAAACAAACAACCTGATGTTAGGAACAGCATTGAAGCCGCTTTCACTGACCCACCAGAAGGAAACAGTCAATCTGATGTTATAAACTGCAATCAAGCCCCCTACATTGAGCTGCCAGGTGGAAACAGCCAATCTGGTGTTATAAACTGCAATCAAACCGCCTCCCTTGACCCGCCGGAAGGAAACAGTCAATCTGATGTTATGAACTGCAATCAATCCGCCACCATTGACCCACCACGCTTTCACTGACCCACCAGAAGGAAACAGTCAATCTGATGTTATGAATTGTAATCAAGCCGCCTCCACCGAGCTGCCAGAAGGAAACAGGCAATCGGATGTTAACATCAAGTCGCCTCCATTGAGCTGCCAGAAGGAAACATTCAATGTGATGTTATGAACTGCAATAAAACCGCCTCCATTGACCCACCAGAAGGAAACAGTCAATATGATGTTATCAACTGCAATCAAGTCGCCTCCATTGAGCTGCCAGAAGGAAACATTCAATGCGATGTTATAAACTGCAATCAATCCGCCATACTTGACCCGCCAGAAGGAAACAGTCAATTTGATGTTATGAACTGCAATCAAGCCGCCTCCACCGAGCTGCCAGAAGCATCTGATGTTATAAACTGCAATCAAGCCGCCTCCATGGAGCTGCCAGAAGGAAACAGTCAGTCTGATGTTATAAACAGCAATCAAGTCGCCTCCATTGACCCACCAGAAGGAAACATTCAATCTGATGTTATAAACTGCAATCAAGCCGCCTCCATTGACCCGCCAGAAGGAAACAGTCAATCTGATGTTATAAACAGCAATCAAGTCGCCTCCATTGACCAACCAGAAGGAAACAGTCAATCTGATGTTATGAACTGCAATCAATCCGCCACCATTGACCCACCAGAAGGAAACAGTCAATCTGATGTTATGAATTGTAATCAAGCCGCCTCCACCGAGCTGCCAGAAGGAAACAGGCAATCTGATGTTAAAAATTGCAATCAAGCCGCCTCCATGGAGCTGCCAGAAGGAAACAGTCAGTCTGATGTTATAAACAGCAATCAAGTCGCCTCCATTGACCCACCAGAAGGAAACATTCAATCTGATGTTATAAACTGCAATCAAGCCGCCTCCATTGACCCGCCAGAAGGAAACAGTCAATCTGATGTTATAAACAGCAATCAAGTCGCCTCCATTGACCAACCAGAAGGAAACAGTCAATCTGATGTTATGAACTGCAATCAATCCGCCACCATTGACCCACCAGAAGGAAACAGTCAATCTGATGTTATGAATTGTAATCAAGCCGCCTCCACCGAGCTGCCAGAAGGAAACAGGCAATCTGATGTTATAAACTGCAATCAAGCCGCCTCCATGGAGCTGCCAGAAGGAAACAGTCAGTCTGATGTTATAAACAGCAATCAAGTCGCCTCCATTGACCCACCAGAAGGAAACATTCAATCTGATGTTATAAACTGCAATCAAGCCGCCTCCATTGACCCGCCAGAAGGAAACAGTCAATCTGATGTTATAAACAGCAATCAAGTCGCCTCCATTGACCAACCAGAAGGAAACAGTCAATCTGATGTTATGAACTGCAATCAATCCGCCACCATTGACCCACCAGAAGGAAACAGTCAATCTGATGTTATGAATTGTAATCAAGCCGCCTCCACCGAGCTGCCAGAAGGAAACAGGCAATCTGATGTTAAAAATTGCAATCAAGCCGCCTCCATGGAGCTGCCAGAAGGAAACAGTCAGTCTGATGTTATAAACAGCAATCAAGTCGCCTCCATTGACCCACCAGAAGGAAACATTCAATCTGATGTTATAAACTGCAATCAAGCCGCCTCCATTGACCCGCCAGAAGGAAACAGTCAATCTGATGTTATAAACAGCAATCAAGTCGCCTCCATTGACCAACCAGAAGGAAACAGTCAATCTGATGTTATGAACTGCAATCAATCCGCCACCATTGACCCACCAGAAGGAAACAGTCAATCTGATGTTATGAATTGTAATCAAGCCGCCTCCACCGAGCTGCCAGAAGGAAACAGGCAATCTGATGTTAAAAATTGCAATCAAGCCGCCTCCATGGAGCTGCCAGAAGGAAACAGTCAGTCTGATGTTATAAACAGCAATCAAGTCGCCTCCATTGACCCACCAGAAGGAAACATTCAATCTGATGTTATAAACTGCAATCAAGCCGCCTACATTGAGCTGCCAGGTGGAAACAGCCAATCTGGTGTTATAAACTGCAATCAAACCGCCTCCCTTGACCCGCCGGAAGGAAACAGTCAATCTGATGTTATGAACTGCAATCAAACCGCCACCATTGACCCACCAGAAGGAAACAGTCCATCTGATGTTATAAACTGCAATCAAGCCGCCTCCATTGACCCACCAGGAGGAAACAGTCAATCTGATGTTATGAACTGCAATCAAACCGCCTCCATTGAGCTGTCAGAAGGAAACGGTCAGTCTGATGTTATAAACAGCAATCAAGTCGCCTCCATTGACCCACCAGAAGGAAACATTCAATCTGATGTTATAAACTGCAATCAAGCCGCCTCCATTGACCCGCCAGAAGGAAACACTCAATCTGATGTTATAAACTGCAATCAAACAGCCTCCATTGACCCACCAGAAGGAAACATTCAATCTGGTGTTATGAACTGCAATCAAGCCGCCTCCATTGACCCACAAGAAGGAAACATTCAATCTGATGTTATAAACTGCAATCAAGCCGCCTCCATCGAGCTGCCAGAAGGAAACACTCAATCTGATGTTATAAACTGCAATCAAGCAGCCTCCATTGACCCACCAGAAGGAAACATTCAATCTGGTGTTATGAACTCCAATCAATCCGCCACCATTAACCCACCAGAAGGAAACACTCAATCTGATGTTATAAATTGCAATCAAGCAGCCTCCATTGACCCACCAGAAGGAAACAGTCATTCTGATGTTATAAACTGCAATCAAGCCGCCTCCATTGACTCACCAAAAGAAAGCTGTCAATCTGATGTTATGAACTGCAATCAATCCGCCACCATTGACCCACCAGAAGGAAACATTCAATGTGATGTTATGAACTGCAATCAAGCCGCCTCCATTGAGCTGCCAGAAGGAAACAGTCAATCTGATGTTATAAACTGCAATCAAGCCGCCACCATCGACCCACCAGAAGGAAACAGTCAATATGATGTTATAAACTGCAATCAATTCGCCTCCATTGAGCTGCCAGAAGGAAACAGTCAATCTGATGTTATGAACTGCAATCAATCCGCCACCATTGACCCGCCAGAAGGAAACAGTCAATCTGATGTTATGTACTGCAATCAAGCCGCCTCCATTGAGCTGTCAGAAGGAAACAGTCAGTCTGATGTTATGAACTGCAATCAATCCGCCACCATTGACCCACCAGAAGGAAACAGTCAACCTGATGTTAGGAACAGCATTCAATCCTTCTTGACTGAAATCCCTAAAGGAAGGAATCGACTTGATGTTATTGACAGCATTCAATCCTCTTCCACTGACCAGCCAGAAGGAAACAGCCAACGTGATACTGCGAACAAACATGAAGTCATCTCCACTGACCCATCAAATGGAAACAGTCTACCTGATGTTATGAACATTAATCAATCCCCCTTAACAAAGCTACGGACGGAAAGTTGTGAATTTGCATTCAATATTGGGAATCTTCATGACGAAGAACACGAAAGCACAACTGTCACACAAGATCGCCTCACCGGTGTAAATCAGGGAATGACAGTGGTACTGTGTGACGAAACAGGAGGATCAGGTAAGTGTGCTAACTCTCACTGAAACTGTCATAAGAACAGTATAAATAGGTCAACAGATTTACGAAAAAAAACAGATTTTTTGAACGGTCTATTTATTGAAACAATTAAATATCGTCGGTTGTTTGTTTCACTAATCATTTCAAATAAATTTGTGATTTAAGTTAAAATTGACGCTGAAATTTATATCAAAAAAATGTTTTCTAATGGAATTGTGGTATTCGGGAACAACTAATAAATAAATCACTTAAGTGTAAATTATTATGGAAACTTGTAAAACTGTCTTTATCTCATTTTACTGACTTTTCAAAACTTAACAAACTGGTAATATTTTCAAGTTTATGTGTCATAACATTTTATCGCTATATCTGTTACCGCAAAACAATGATACTTTGGATTTTGAAAAAGTTTTTTCGTGGCGAAATAATAAAAGACAAAAGAACGATTTAGTGAAGCTGGTCGGCAATTGGCGTATTAATGAAAATCCATCGAAATACGACAGACTATCTATAAAGAAACAGTTAAGTGTCTTTATATCGTCACGACATTGCATTATTTTAAAGTTCGTCATTTCGCGGAGAGAAAAAAAAAAGAGTTAAATATAGCACAAATTAGAAACTACACTAAATATCTAATTCGTTAAATGTACAAGTACGTTATGATTAAAAACATATGTTGCAGGTGTCGGCCAGGAGAATCAACAGATACAGTTACATACGCAGACAGAATATAACGAAACAACAATGATTGGAACTCACAACACCATAATTTATGGAAACAGTAAGTTGGAATTTGCCAACACTTTTTTGCAGTCACTTTATCAAAAATGTCATTGACCCATACCATTTTAATATTTTGTCGTATACAAATGAATGTGAATCCGATTATTTCTTGAATTTGTAATTTATACAGTGTAGGCGATATTAATAAAAACAGGATGTTGAAACAGAAAACTAGATTTTTTTTTGTGGATTAATTATTTATCTCCGATGTTATATTTTAAAAGATATTTCTTTTTGTTTATAATGCTGTATGATTTAATGTAGAATAATATACATTATTTCAGCTTTCATGGAATCACTTATTTCCGCTTGTATTAATTGTTTATGCTGTATGTACCCTGCCTGTGTGACAGCGAATTATGATATCATCGATTTTTTCGAAATTGTTGAAATTCAATACTACTATACATTTGAATTTCTCAAAATTCTCGTGATAATAGCAACATTACAGGAGTTGATTTTTTATCGATACATAAAACAACAAAAACGTCCACTCACTCACATACATTCAATCAATCGATCGATCAATCACCCTTCATTAGTCAACATCATGGATCAGTAATTATCATCACTCTTAATTTATCATCATATTACACAATTACAAAACATAACAAACATCATCATCATCACTTTCATCATCATCACATGATTTCACATCATTATCATCATTTATCGTTCTTTATATACAACCATCATCATCATCATCATCATCATCATCATCCAATCAATCGATCAATCATTCCTCATCAGCTAACATCATGTATCCCTAATTATCATCAATCATTAATTCATCATTATCGTTATCCTCATATGATTACACATCATTATCACGATTACTTATCATCATCATTACATATCCTCATCATTGATCACTCAATAAGTCATCCTTCATCAGCCGTTCATTCAGGTATGATGAATTGATTTCATATAAAATATAAGAACATGCATCTTCTTTTTCAGTTGCATCACAACATTAACACATTATCTTTCTACTCTGCACCCGCCATCCATACACAGTCGCCCTTACTCACACCCATACACACACACACTCTTACATACACAAACAAGCAAGGATTCGAAGAAATGCAAAAAATTAAAAGCTACTTAAAGTACATGAATCAGCTGAGAGAGAGAGAGAGAGAGAGAGAGAGAGAGAGAGAGAGAGAGAGAGAGAGGGGGGGGGGGTTGAGAGGAACAAGATTGGNATGAATACATTAAATCGAAGAAAATCATTTAGATTTAGGATTTAAAACCAGGTTAAAATTTCCACAAATGATAACATATGCAAATCCTTCAATAGTTTCAATTAGTATATCATAAAAGTCAGGGTCATCCTTATTCGGGCCATACAAACTAAAAAGTGTAATTCTAAAAATCTCAATTTCAATATCTAAGGCTAAAAAATTGCCCCTTTTTTATGCACTCTAAATTCGAAGTAAAATGTGTATCTTGCAAGCAGAAGACATTACCACTTGTCGACCTAAGATAAGAAAACACATCTTTACGCTTAACTTTGTCTCCAAGGCCCTGATTATCAGCCGGTAAAAATTGTATCTGTGTCATATCTGTGACTTGAGAACGAGTTTATTTGTTCCATCCCAGAGATAAATAGAAAATAAGCAAAGACCGATAAAGAAATTAAAAGGAGTTGAATCTTAATATAATATGTAACAGGAAGTATTGATGTTACCAGATCATCTTCAGAAATGGGTCAATTTGACATAAGATTGACATTTTTAATAAACAATCAATTATAAATTAATTTCCATTTTAGATGAAGACGTGCAAGAGGCAATCTCAGAATCAGATGGTCGCAGGACTAATGAACATCGAAAACAGACTGATACTCTCAAAAAGGCCATAGAGGAGAAAGGGTCAGAAATACAGGAAACTGTCCATGCTTCAGGACAGGATCTGAGACGGCAAGTGGGAGATACAATCACACAATCAGATAATCGCTTGACCAAAGAACATCGAGAACAGACGGATTCTCTCAAAAAGGCGATAGAAGAAGGACAGTCAGAAATACAGGAAACTGTACAAGATATATCTAAGAAAATTGAAAGGAGTGAAAAGAAAAATGACGACCAAATAGCTGAACTAAAGCGACTTACTGACACATTACATCAACATCATAAGAAAGAAAGCATTGAACAAAGTGCTAGCCAAGACCAAGCTAAGATGAAACAAGCCGTTGATAAACATCGTCAAAAAACCACTGTGGCTACAAAGCAGTTAAAAACAGATGTGAGGATTACAGAAAAAATAACTATTGAAACTAAACATCACGTGATGCAACAGTCAGAGATATTAGTTGTACTGTCACTACATATTCAAGAACTCTTACGGAAATTTGATGTACAGACAATGATAACTTGTAAACAGACACAACACATTGATGAACTGATACAGACTGTAGGTAAACAGTCGCTGAAAATTAACGACCAGACACAAAAACTAGTTCTACAATCAAAGACATTAGATGAACAGTCACAAAAAAATCAAGAAATGTCACAGAAACTAGATGAACAGTCGCACAAAAGTAAAAAACAGACACAAAAACTTGATGAACAGTCACAGACATTAGGTGAACAGTCACAGAAAATTCAAGAAATGTCACAGAAACTAGATGAACAGTCACACAAAAGTAACAAACAAACACAAAAAATTGATAAACAGTTAAGTGAAAATTCGTGGATTTTAGGTAAACTGTATCGTAGAGGTAGGGAACAGACACAGACACTTGATAAACAATCCCAGAAATTAGGCAAACAGATAAAAACGTTAGATAAACAGTCACACGAAGGTAACAAACAGACACAAAACCGTGATGAACAGTCAGAGACATTAGGTGAACAGTCAGAGACATTAGGTGAAAGGTCAGAGACATTAGGTGAACAGTCAGAGACATTAGGTGAACAGTCAGAGACATTAGGTAAAAGGTCACAAAAGATTCAAGAAATTTCACAAAATCTTAGTAAACTGTTCCAGACGTCAGGTGAACTATCTCGTAGAAGTAGGGAACAGACACAGACACTTGATAAACAATCCCAGAAATTAGGCAAACAGACAAAAACGTTAGATAAACAGTCACACGAAGGTAACAAACAGACACAAAACCGTGATGAACAGTCTGAGACATTAGGTGAACAGTCACAAAAGATTCAAGAATTTTCACAAAATCTTAGTAAACTGTTCCAGACGTCAGGTCAACTATCTCGTAGAAATAGGGAACAGACACAGACACTTGATCAGTCAATGGCATGTGCTGAGTTAGGTGAACCATTAGAGAAACGGGAAATTCCAGAACAGACACAGAACTATAATGGACAGTCAAACAGGTTAGCTAAACATTTGGAGATGAAATTGAACCGGAAGGATAAAATACAAGGTAGAGGAAGCAACAAGATTAACAGTCTGGTGTCTCTCTTTGAGCGAGGCGAATCGGCAGACAAAAATCAAGAAGAGACACGGGAACGTTATGAACAAGCACGGTCATTATCTAAACATTGGGAGAAGAAATGGAACAGGCATGATGCCGCAGAAGTTGGAGGAAAAAACTTGATGATCGGTCAGCAGGATGGTACGCCAGACAAAATTGAATTGCCTAAACCGATACAGAAACATTTTGAACAGTCACATGCGTTGGATGAAGAGTCAATGAAACCTAACGAACTGACACAAAAACTTGCACAATTGTTAGGTGAATGGGATCGCGTTGTTTACACAGATCTAGAGAGTTATTTCCTAAAGCATACTTTTTCGGAATTAACTAAAATTATGTTTGACGCTATTTCATGGTAGGAGCAGAGAATGCAAAATAAGAGAGAAACAATATGTTTATTGAACTTATTTCTTGATTGTTTTAAATAAGATATACTTAAAATGAAATTTGATGAGAAGTCACAGACGTTAGTTGAACAGTCACTAAAAATGAACAAAAACTGTAAATGCACGTAGTATGTTGGCGCAGTGGACGGTACATGTACATACTTTAACTAAGATTCCCGGGCTTTAATTAGGCGATTGGAGCAGTAAAAGCTCCCTACTGTGTTACAAGGGAATAGGGACAACAATACTGATTGATATAAGTTGCTAGTAAATAAATAAGGTTTAAGAGATATTTGATGAACGGCCAAAGGCATTTGGTGAACAGTCACAGAAAATTGACGCCACGTTATAGGATATTCATGAAAAATCACTGACACTTGAATCAGTCATGACAATTATTTTATGATTTTTTTTTAAATATCATTTTTCATAATTTTTAATATGAGATATTTATATGTAAGTTTTAAATATGTATAAGTTTATTTCATTAACCATGACTTGTATGATTTATTACATTTGTTTTTTACATTATTATGCATGATATTGCCGTACTCTGCCCTGTATGTGCTACAGTTTGTAAATATTTTAACACAATTTTAAATTTATAAGCATTAACCCAAACGGTCGATTTTAGGTGATATTTCTAACCGGATGTAATCGAAATGGCTTGTGCCGCGCAGATATGGCGGTTGCTGGGCTAGCTGTCCGGGATATGGCCTTTAAACAATTAGCAGTGTTGCATACGCAAACAACCCATATCGTAGACAAATATATGAAGATGTGACAGATATCAAAAGTGATACTTTTCACAGCATTAAGTTATTTCTTTTGGTTTTGACTGAAGAAAAATCACTATCAATTTTTGTTCTTCTGATTTTTCAAATTTACATCCCGGATGTCATCTATGAAGCAGAAGACGCTTACCCTTCCGATATACTTGGTCTTATTCTTCTTATATGAGTGTACATACCATGTAAATCTTTCCTTTGCCTAGTTTAAAGCAATTGTATTGTAACAAAAGACAAATGGATTGGACAAAAGTAATTGCAACTTACTTACGTTTTTTCCATAAGAATTAAATAAAAAATATGTATATATATACAAAATTAATCTGTAACGCAATAGCATAAACGGTTTTATTGATAAGAACATTTAAAAGTTAAAGATGGAGTTACAGCAAAAGTGGTGAGGATAGGATTAGAGACACCAACGTATACATTTTGAAATATGTATTCCAAGGGTTTACTTGAGATCGCGTGTGTGATTTTACTAAGCGCGTCGGCGTAAGTAATATACCTTATCTATACACACATAGCCTTCTGCTTTTCTAAAGTGCAATCACATCCCGTGTCGCGTTTGCCTTTCTCCTGTGTCACTCCAAGTCCTTCTGCGAATCCTGCCTTATGTACTTAGCCAGCTTGATTTCCTTTGCTCATATTTTACCCTGGTTTTATCGATTTTGAGTTCAAATTATAGTTTTGTTGACCTTTCGGTGTTGTTTTGTTGTTTTTGTGGAAAACAACAGGATGCAGGCAAGCGTGGTTTGTTCATATGGAAAGAAAATTTTGAATTCATAACATCGATTTTGATTTACATCAAATATATTGTCACTGTCTTTAGCGACAAATAGATAGATATGTTTCCGTGGATATGTGTAATTTGTCCGCGGTACTCAGTTATGTCTGACCGATAGCTGATATTCTACTGTGATGTAATTATTTTTCAAACATGTTTTCTTATCTTTTTATGTTTTACATATACATGTATACGTACATTATAGTCACTCTTGGTATGCGGCCGTACAGTGTAATCAAGAAATATGTCATTGGTCAACTGTTAACTTTGTACATTGCATCAAAACTGAAAATAAATATATCAAAAACAGCTTTATGCAGTTTCTTAATTCTTTATAGTTTTTAATGAGCTACCATCATTATTGGTCGTAATATATACGCCAAATAGGTAAACGACAACGCAGGAAAAACTTTCTTCTCCACTTAATACGACACCTACATTATGATAGAAAACTGTCCCCGCACATTACGTGTACCATGTCGAATTGGTGAATTAGTCACTGGCCTTATACACTACATAATGGCTATATACATTCAGATCTCAAATAGGCCACATAACACATGGACCTAAGAATTCATTATTAGCCTGGTTAAGTAGGCATGTAAGTAATAGACGACAGCAAGTTTTTATTGGTAATGATAAATCTTCTATTAAAACTACTAATGCTGGAGTACCTCAAGGCTCAGTACTAGACCCTTTACTTTTTATTTTATATATTAATGATATATCTATTAATCTTGAAAGCTTGTCTAAATTATTTGCTGACGATACGTCTTTATTATGTTCTGATGCATCTCCCGAGATTATCGAAACTAAGATCAATAATGATTTGGAAAAAAATCAAAATTAGGCTGAAATTTAGCTGGTTAAATTCAACCCTGCAAAAACGAAAGCTTTACTTTTAACGATTTAAAATTTAATAACGTTAGTGTTGATTTTGTGGACAATCATGGGCACCTTGGAGTAATTTTGGATGAAAATTGTAAGTGGAGTACCCATATTGAAAATATTTGTATAAAAGTATCGAAACAGTTAAGCGTTTTACGTAAATTGAAATTTATTTTGAGTAGAAGAACTTTAAGTAAAATTTATAGATCGTTCATTCTTCCTCTATTAGAATACTGTTGTGAGGTATGGGATGGGTGCACTCTCGGTGACGCAGACAAATTAGAAAAACTTCAGCTTGAGGCTGTAAGGATTATCACCGGGTTACCATCTTACTCAAGTAGAGAATCATTGTATTTTGAAACTGGTCTAGAAACGTTATCTGAACGTAGAACTCGGCGGAAATTACAACTGTTTTACAAAAGTCATAAGAATCTTACACCTAACTATTTTACCTCTTTACTTCCCCCTACAATTTCAGAAAACACACACTATAACCTCCGTAATGCTGAAAATTACTGTATACCTAATTCACGACTTCAATTAACAAATGTGTCCTTTTTCCACTCCATAATCCGACTCTGGAACCAGTTAGACCTTAATATAAGACACAGCGTTTCATATACAGCTTTTGAAGACACTCTTCGCAGGCTTAATATATCAGAAGTCCCTATATATTAACTCCTTGGTGATCGAAAAAGTAATATTTTACACACCAGATTGAGAAATAACTCTAGTACCTTAAACAATCATTTATTTTATGCTAATTTAATAGATTTTCAGCACTGTCAATGTGGACATCCCATCGAAGATACATATCACTTCTTTTTTACTTGCAATAACTATGCGGATCAAAGAATTGAACTCTACCGCGAATTAAATGATTTCATTCCACTTGACTTGCAGCTACTACTCTACGGTAATAGTGAATTGTCGTGTCAAGAAAACACCCTAATAGCCAAACAGACGAAGCAATTTATTCTAGATACTAACAGATTTTGAGTATATTTTCCTGCACTTCTTCATGTTTACCAACTAATCCGAATCTAGCTCTCTCTCATTCTCTCTCTCTCTCTCTCTCTCTCTTCATCACCTCTCTCTCTCTCTCTCTCTCTCTCTCTCTCTCTCTCTCTCCCTCTCCTCACCCCCTCTCTCTCTCTCTCTCTCTCTCTATTAAAGCAAATGTAAATATATATGTTATATGCCATCTTGATAATTTGTAGTAATATATTGTAGGGAAAGGGCTTTGTTGACTTTGAAAAGGCGTTTGATTCCATCACAGGGAAAGCTTATGGTCTATCATGAAAGCATATCACATCCCAGACAAACTCATCACAGTTATAAAACTCTTTTATGTTATATTTGAATGTGCAGTCATAGACGAAGGGATACAATCTGAATGGTTCAAAGTAAAAACAGGAGTAAAGCAAAGATGTGTGATGTCCGGCTTCTTATTTCTGTTAGCCATTGACCATGTCATGAAACAAACAACAAAAGAAAATGAAACAGGAGTAAGATGGAAATTTACCACCAAATTAGAAGACCTCGATTTTGCAGATGAGCTTGCACTACTATCTTCCAAATTCCAACATATACAGCTGAAAACAGATAAACTTCAATAAAATACCAGCAAGATAGGATTAAATATAAATAGGTCCAAGACAAAAGTAATGCGGATGAACACCAGTAATAAGAACCCGGTGAAGTTAAATGAGAAAGACCTAGATGATGTTGATACCTTCACTTACCTAGGTGGAATAGTAACAACAAAAAGGTGGCTGTGACAATGATACAGACAACAGGTTCAAGAGTGCGAAAGGCCAATTCAGTAGGTTAAGAAAAAATATGGAGATCATCAGTGTTGTCATTCAAAACAAAGGTCAAGTTATTTAAAAGTTTGGTAATATCAATATTACTGTATGAATGTGAAACCTGGAAAACAACAAAAGACAAAAAGAAATTAATACCTCTCAAAATAGATGTCTGAGACAAATTCTGAGAATAAGATGGCCCAACACCAATATCAAATGAAAACCTTCACATCAGAGCTGGAACAAAGAAACTTAGTGATGATATTATGGAACGTCATTGGAGATGGATTGGACATGTACAAAGAATGGACAACAACAGCATATGTTCAGTGGCACTGACATGGTAACCAGAGGGAAACAGGAAAGTTGGACGTCCCAAAACCACCTGGAGACGGACTGTCGAGACAGAAAAAAGTCACTTGGATGGAACAGCTGGGCTACAGCAAGGACAACAGCTAAAGACCGTGTAAAGTGGAAAGAATGTATCCGGGCCTGAAATGCCGACAGGATATGTGAGGTGAGGTGAGGTGATTAGACGGGTCAGGTGTAAGATAGACAACCAGTAAAACGCCAGCTATTGAATAGTGTACATACATGTACATACATGTAGCGTGTAGTCTTACACATAGTGAGCGTTACGTTGATACAAACGACAGCTGTCCCTAAATAAAATGATCAGCAATTGTTTATTCATTCAAAGATAATTTATATTTTTGGCAGATGTTAGCTCTCCTATAATAGTCGTATCTGTTTACTACGTTGTTGAATAACAGTTTATTGAATCGGTCAGAAAGATGTTTGTAACGAATGTACGACTATGGGTTGGGTCTAGATTCAGGACGCGCGACGCAATATTTGCTTTCGATAATGTATTTAAGTATTTAAGTATAATAAGTATTTAAACAAAGAATGATTATGGTTTGAAATAAATAAATAAATCACGGGTAGTAATTAACTGTTGTTCATGATGAAGCATTTGAAAATCTGAAAATCAATAAATAAATTGTAAATGGAGATGAATAATTCGAGAATATTTTATTTGTACTAAAAGTTTTTTGTTCAGTTCTAGCGGACAAAATATATACCAAGCGCGTATCTTGCTTTCACAGAG